ATTTGAGTGGATCTTGCTGTGCATCACCTGATAATAAGAAGAATAATTTTGTTAATAATTTTTAAATTATTGATGGAAGAGTGAAATTAACGGTATTTTATGATAGAAGACATCACGAGGAGTATATTGATATGAATTTTATGGATTGAATATGAAAGAGTTGAGCATGGTTGAGCACCTGAGATGACATTGTTGGTGAGGACAATTCGGAGAAGATCTCTCTCATTTCATGTGCATGTACAGTGTTTTTTCAATAAATATACATGTATTTATGATGGTGAACATGTTTTTGTTGTTTGTTTGAGGAATGATTCAATATTCATGGTGTATGACCCTCAAGGAGGAGATCTTTGTCAATTTTCTTCGACATTGCTGTGAAAAATGAAATTCAATAGAAAAGTCCAGCGAAAAACAGCATGATGTTTCGTTCACAACCAATGTACAATATTAAAGAATGAAACTTTCAGAATTGGAGTTTTTCAGTCAATTGTACATAATTATTGCGTTGAACTGTGTTGTACTATGTTGGATGACTCGATCACTTTGAATGTGTATATTCTTCTGTACAGTGCATTCATGAAGTGGAACACTATTTCAGCAGTTGCTTGACGTTGAATTGATCATGTGTTGTTCATGGTGAGTGTTGGTGTTTGTTCGTTGTGGAGTATGGCTTGTTGAAAGACTGTTCATTTTTCTTTGAAAAATAGTTGTGAAGGTGATCATGAGTTGTTTCATTCATGTGATTGACACATATAACAATCAATGAATGTAGATTTGTGATGAGACACACATGTACGAGCTTGTTATCACATCAGTTTGTGATTGGGTGACAGTCCACTGATTTTTGAATGTTCGGGTGTCCATGTGTATCGACGGGCCAGTGTTCTCAAAAATTTTGCAAGTCACCATATATGTTGATCAGTGATATACCAAGTCGATTAGTGAATGATCTATGGTGTTTGGATCACTCTGACATTTTTGTATGCAATCTACATTCAAAGATCTTCATGATAATGACTTTGTTGAGAAGTGTTCATTGTTGTATAAAGCATGGTGAGGTTCAACACTTTTTCGGTTGAAATGTGTCATGATAACAATTTGATGAGTATTGGACTACTCTCACCATGTTATATGAGAGTCATACACTGTGTGATGTGAATGATGTGACTTTGAGGTGAAGTACTCACTCCGATGACTCATCCTTCTCAAGAATCATGTTAGAGTTCATCATTGTAGTATCACTCCTTGAGAAGGTTGTACACATTTTCCTATTCAATTCATGGTGTTGAGGTCATATACAATCGATTACAAAAATATTTTTTTTACCCTAATGTTGATGCGATAGTGGATTGAGTGTGAAATTTCATATATATGAGTTGAATTCATATATATGATGTAAAGTGCGTTATATCATGTAAGTCATGTTCTAAGCTTGTTCATATCATGGAGTGCATGTATGATGAAAATGGTGTTGTTTTATGAAGAGTACAATGAGTTATACAACTTTGATGATTTGGAGTTATTAAGGTATTAAGGTAATATTGATCAAAAAAACTGTAAATTTACTAAGGAATTAATAGTTCCTTATAAGGCTAGTCTCAGGTTTGAATTACGGGTTTGCAAACCTTAGGGTTTGGATAGGTGACCGCCTTGACTTGGGTTTGGATAGGTGCCCAGCTCGACTTTGAATCTTAATTTTTCGACATGCTTAATCATTGGATTTTTAATTTTTATGAAATCGTCGGGGATGGAGGTATATCTATGTGTTGATATGACTTTCATCCATTAATTATGGGTAATTATTGAACTGTACTCGCTTAAAGTAGACCTTTCGTGCATGGTCGGGTTTTTCGTCATCTTTGATGTTGAGCTTGATCCAAGCACATCATTCGATTGATTTTGAAGAGTAGTACAATCGTGCTAGCGACATCAATGAATAGTGAGCTAAGTTGGTTGAGTAGTTCAACAAATGGTGACAGGTGTCAAATTTTTGATAGAATTTAAGCGAGACCTTTTTTGTAGATCTCACGAAAATAATGGGGGTCATGATAGAGCATTCGATCAGGTTTAGGGTAGTTTTCGAGAAAATCAAGTTTGAAGGAGTTTAATTGAGTTCAAAAATGACATGAAAATTTTTCAAAAAAAAATTAAAAAAAAATGAAGCCAAAACTCCCTGCATTTTTGAGGTGATCCTCATCAAGATCGGGTCATGTTTCCATTCATCATCATGTCATATTTATATTGATCACATCAAATGTGAACATCATGATCAACATTTATGAGGAATATTTTGTGTGTATGAATACACATGGAAATGATAATCATCAAATAGTACTGGTTGGAATTGTAGTGAACTGCTCCCGTTGGATGTGATGATCATGGAATGAATCTGATGATCGGAATGTCGTTACAGTGATCAGAAACCATAGAATTGATCGTTGATTCAGTTCAAAGTGATGGTCATTTCATGACTTTGTGTGATGTGAAGTGTGATGGTGGCTCTATGGTAGAGGTGAAAAGTACGATCGAGACAAGTACTTCACAGAACTTCATGAAATTGATATGGATGGATGTTCTGATCATTCAAACAACAAATCATCAGTTTTATTCATTGACATGATTGTTTCATTGAATGGGAGCACTTCGCTTTTCTCGGAAAACATCATTTCTTGAGGAAGGGTACAACTCTCCTCTCTTGCTCATGTCATTCATTCTATCATCATGACACGTTATGATCATCATTGTAGAAGTGTTTCATGTGATTATGAATGGTTGAAAGTGATCATGATGAATTGTTGTTGGTATGTATTGTTGTATGATTGAATGATCATTTTATAACAATTGATTGATTAAGTTTTTCGATAAACCGATGATTGAAATGTTGTATAATACATTGTGGAGAGTATTTCTATGACTATTGATGATGGATATGATCATTATTGGTGGAGTATCATGATGAATGTTGTAGAGGTGTGATACCATATCCTTCCAAGAGTGATTGTGTCATGAACAATACACATCAACATGTTCATCATGATGAGTATGACACATCCATGTTGATTGTACTCACTGAATCATCAATTTATGGAAGTGGTGTCTCACTCTTTCAATTCATTTTTCTTTTTCACATGATGTTACGATACTGAATAATTTCAAGAATATCACAGTGACTTTATATGATAGTATATAGTGTGATATTGTTATTTTGAAATTTGTGGAATTTATGTATATGAGTTGATTTTGTTATGAGGCACATGAGCTGTGTTGAAAATGATTATTAATTAATTTTTGAAGATTTGTCAGGATAGTGATGCAGATAGTTTTTTATGGTAGATGAGATGGTGTACAACACATTGACATTAATTGTTGTACTTGTTCATGTCTAGAATGTATTGTTGTTGAGCACCTGAGAAGATTTTGTCATGAAGTGCATTACAATGTGAGACATGGTTTTTTCCTAGAGTTGTTGCAATCACCCATGTGTTGATCTTGTTCCATTGTGTTATTATTGATTGTGTGGAGTGATGTGATTCATTGTGTGATGGAAGGATTCTGTCAGGTCATGTTTGACACTTTTTCGTGGAGAGCCTGTGTTGATATATGATGGCTGCATTGAAAATAAAGAATTAATTCATTGATTTTCATGATCAGTACATGTGAAATGTGTGGTGTATGTGGTTGGTAGGCGTCAATGTTCATGTCATCTTGATTTTGAATTTTGTCTGGATTTACTGACCCTATACTTCCGCATTTAGAATATATCCAAAAAAATACTGTTGTGATTGATCAGTGTTGTTTGGTGTTGTGATGACGGGATCATGATTGAAATAATTTGTAGTGATTGTAGATGTGTCCTTCAACCGTATTGGATACGTCTACCACGATCGTTGCTGTAACCAAACGGATGAGCGTTCAAAGTTGTTCATGAAGAGTGATGAGATGAAACATGGTTGTTTGAATGTTCATTCAAGTTGATAAACATGCTTGCCATGATGGTGTGGTCACGTGATAGTGATTGTGTTGATCCATCTGTTGTGTGTGTTGAGTAATGTTTCAGTCATTACAATAAATTTTGATGTTGTGGTGGATGACATCTTTGTGTTGAACGTTTAATATTCTTTCATGATCATGAAGTGCTCATGTCATAGTGTGAGTCCTATCATTTTGAAGTGTTGCGTATTGTTGTGTGCTTGGTGTGATATGAAACTTTGAAAAAATTGTGACATTTTCTTTATATGTTGTGATGATGTTCACTACTCTTTGTGAAATTGATAAACATGTTTATCATGTATATGACAACATACTATGAAGTATTATTGAATGTGTATTGATATTGTTGAGATAATTGATAAATGTTGATTTGGAGTGTTTGGAAAAATTGTGGTCTTAGTTTTGGGTTTGTTGGGTTTGGATTTGGGTTTTTTGGGTTTGGTTTGGGTTTGGTTTTTGGGTTTGGTTTGGGTTTGGGTTTGGGTTTGGTTTGGGTTTGGGTTTGGGTTTGGTTTGGGTTTGGGTTTGGGTTTGGGTTTGGGTTTGGGTTTGGGTTTGGGTTTGGGTTTGGGTTTGGGTTTGGGTTTGGGTTTGGGTTTGGGTTTGGGTTTGGGTTTGGGTTTGGGTTTGGGTTTGGGTTGGGTTTGGGTTTGGGTTTGGGTTTGGGTTTGGGTTTGGGTTTGGGTTTGGGTTTGGGTTTGGGTTTGGGTTTGGGTTTGGGTTTGGGTTTGGGTTTGGGTTTGGGTTTGGGTTTGGGTTTGGGTTTGGGTTTGGGTTTGGGTTTGGGTTTGGGTTTGGGTTTGGGTTTGGGTTTGGGTTTGGGTTTGGGTTTGGGTTTGGGTTTGGGTTTGGGTTTGGGTTTGGGTTTGGGTTTGGGTTTGGGTTTGGGTTTGGGTTTGGGTTTGGGTTTGGGTTTGGGTTTGGGTTTGGGTTTGGGTTTGGGTTTGGGTTTGGGTTTGGGTTTGGGTTT